GGAAAATAACTAAACTCAATTCTGAGTGTGAACACGGGTGGTACCTGTTAGTATTTTAGTTAGTTAACAATATACGTATTGTTAACTGTTACCCCTCATGTAGATCTCCAACTGTTTGACTGTGCGTCACAAATTAACAATGTTACCCCCCCCTGTGGCCTTAACAATGTCTCTGTTCTCCCAACAGTTTATCGAGTGTGTAATTAGCGCATTAAGTGTTGTGTTTATGAAGGAGCATCAACCTGCAAGGGTCTCCGGTGTACACGTGATGCCCATATAAGGTATTAGTGCACACTATAATGAGAACCTTAGTCTACACAACGTTCAAATGAGTGTAGTAGTTGAGACATTATCGTAGGTTTGTGACATTGTGTTTATTACGTGTGTATCTAGCAGTACAGTTAGCAGTACAGTTAGCAGTACAGTTCTTATTCAGTTGCTTTGTTTAGGTCTTCTCTAGTTGATAAAAGCATCTAACACTAGTCACTACACTAGTGTGTCACTAGTAACATTAGTATAACTCTAGTGTGTCACACTAGTCACTACACTAGTGTGTCACTAGTAACATTAGTATAACTCTAGTGTGTCACACTAGTCACTTCTCCTTTAACGTATCGAATGACAAGTTGGCATACCTAATTCTTACTTTCTTAACACCACACAAAACGGCGCGGTAGTTATCAGCCTGGCACTGCGACCTTGTTTTGCATATTCTATTCTACTACTTATACTGTACTATTCGATATTTAGTATAGTTTACTATTATAGCTTGTTCCCTCGCGGGAAGCTATGGGCACTATCCGTCGCAGAGCCGCCGGACTCCGAGCGGACTCCGGCGGTGCTCCGCCAAAATGTATTTACAGTGGACTCGAGTACATTTTGGCGGACTCCGAGCGGAGCCGAGCGGACTCCGAGCGGACTTTAAAGTCCGCCGCGGACTCCGAGCGGCTCCGCGGCGGCTCGGCGGAGTGTCCGCCGCGGACTAAGCCACTAGGCGGACTCCGGTCCGCCGCGGACTCCGGCGGAGTGCTTGGCGGACTCCGCCGGACCTCTCCGCCAGACTTGAATCCGGCAGAGTCCGGCGGAGCTTGGCGGAGTCCGCCAGCTCGGCGGACTCCGCTCGGAGTCCGCCGGACTACAACACAGTCCACTGACTTCCGACCTCCGTCTTCCGACCCTCGGCTAAATTTGTCACGTGACATACAACATAGCATTTTGCAATGTTGTGGTCAGATGAAAAGGTCGCTAGTGATAAACCTTAACCATTACCCTCACAATGTCAATAGTGTACAACTCTAGTCCTAACTTTGACCCTATAATGTATAAACGTTGGCCCTAACCCTCCACCAAACCGTCCGCAGCGAAATATCAATGTCATTGACTGGTCACGTGACCAAAACAATTTTTGTCATATTATCTCATATGGGGAAGCGTTTTTAGTTTTACCCTACACGTTGCATGTGGCGTCATTCGGCCGGATCCCAGCAAGCAAAAATACGTCGACCATCACAGGACGACGCCAGCCAGCACTCTCTACGCTCTTCGAGCTCCGATCGTCCTGTGACGAAGTAAGGACGAAGCCTGAGGTCGTCAGGTAACATCGACCACCGATTGAAAATTCAAAGATTTTTTGACATAAAGGTCAAATGTAAAACTAAAATCTTGATGCTGATTGATTGACGACGTCAATTTTTGAGCACAGCGCGAGCGCATGCGGAAAAGGACCGCGTAGCTAGTCAAGATGTTGATAAATATTTGGCTTGTGGCGCGATGTGTTGCTCTAACTATAGCCCTCCCGCTTGCAGTAGCGCGCGACCGCCGGAAATGACTTGTGGAACAAGCGCGCCCGCAGCGGCGCGAAAGCACCTGGTTAGCTAAATGAACGCGATGTGCCTTGCATTGTAGGATGAAATCCTACTAGCTGACGCCACTCGCAGCTGTGATGTTCGCTGTACGTCAGCGATCGAAATTTATACGCGTATCACCCGTTAAGATGTGCCACCCGACGCGCCACACAATTTTTCTCGTTGCTCGTCGCACGTCGACGAACAATTTTTCTCGTTGCTCGTCGCACGTCGACGAACAACGAAGCTCGTTGCGACGCGCAATGAGCTGCCAGGCTAGGACATCGTCCTGGTCCAACAAATTTTGGCGAGCGCGAGCGATTTTCTCCAAAAATTTAATGAGGGCGCCGACTTCCATTCTGGATAGGTTTCTTCTTATAGGGGGTGCACGATAAAAATAAAGTTGCTTGGATTTAAAAAAATTTTGTACCACTGTTTTCTAGAGACTGTGAGAATTTTCACAATACCAAATTTGTTATACCTTTTTGGAAAGATCAGTGAGTTTCGTCTAGGTGCCATATTTGATGGTGCGCGGCTTTTGGAGCAAAAGTAGCTGTAAAAGTCGCGTAATTTGACCAAATTCGTCCAAATTTGACCATTTTTGTCGTATTATTCGGATTTATCTTCAGTTCCTTAAATGAGATCATTCTGGAAATTGGCGACGACCTTCCAATTGGGCTTTCACAACTGTCCGAAAAATTTGGTGGATATCGGAGTTGATATAGTAATAAAAATGGGGCAAAATACGCTGCTTTTAGCTGTAACATAATGTCTGATGGTTGGATATGCTTTAAATTTTTCGGACACTTTCCTTGTAAGTTTATGAGTAAGCTTACCAATTTTTGTTGCAATTGGAGGTCGGGAAGGATACTCTATATCTATTTGTTTGAAGAAAATTGTGCTGGCCGAAATTAGCGCTAAAAAACCATCCTTCAGTCGGTACGCGCGGCTCACTATCGATGGCGCACTACCTACTTCTTACCCAGCGCGCGTTCCTTAATGCTCGGTGAATTTTGCCGCGCCTCTGGTGAGAGAAACGACCTTGAGATTAGCTGGCTAAGTAACTGTAAGGTTTGTTCTATAACGCCCACTAGAGTCTAGTATAAACTAAACTCCACCGTACCAACTTGGCGTCGGGTGGCACATCTTAACGGGTGATACGCGTATAAATTTCGATCGCTGACGTACAGCGAACATCACAGCTGCGAGTGGCGTCAGCTAGTAGGATTTCATCCTACAATGCAAGGCACATCGCGTTCATTTAGCTAACCAGGTGCTTTCGCGCCGCTGCGGGCGCGCTTGTTCCACAAGTCATTTCCGGCGGTCGCGCGCTACTGCAAGCGAGAGGGCTATAGTTAGAGCAACACATCGCGCCACAAGCCAAATATTTATCAACATCTTGACTAGCTACGCGGTCCTTTTCCGCATGCGCTCGCGCTGTGCTCAAAAATTGACGTCGTCAATCAATCAGCATCAAGATTTTAGTTTTACATTTGACCTTTATGTCAAAAAATCTTTGAATTTTCAATCGGTGGTCGATGTTACCTGACGACCTCAGGCTTCGTCCTTACTTCGTCACAGGACAATCGGAGCTCGAAGAGCGTAGAGAGTGCTGGCTGGCGTCGTCCTGTGATGGTCGACGTATTTTTGCTTGCTGGGATCCGGCCGAATGACGCCACATGCAACGTGTAGGGTAAAACTAAAAACGCTTCCCCATATGAGATAATATGACAAAAATTGTTTTGGTCACGTGACCAGTCAATGACATTGATATTTCGCTGCGGACGGTTTGATGGAGGGTTAGGGTCAACGTTTATACATTATAGGGACAAATTTAGGACTAGAGTTGTACACTATTGACATTATGAGGGTAATGGTTAAGGTTTATCACTAGCGACCTTTTCATCTGACCACAATATTGCAAAATGCTATGTTGTATGTCACGTAACAAATTTAGCCGAGGGTCGGAAGACGGAGGTCGGAAGTCAGTGGACTGTGTTGGAGTCCGGCGGACTCCGAGCGGAGTCCGCCGAGCTGGCGGACTCCGCCAAGCTCCGCCGGACTCCGCCGGATTCAAGTCTGGCGGAGAGGTCCGGCGGAGTCCGCCAAGCACTCCGCCGGAGTCCGCGGCGGACCGGAGTCCGCCTAGTGGCTTAGTCCGCGGCGGACACTCCGCCGAGCCGCCGCGGAGCCGCTCGGAGTCCGCGGCGGACTTTAAAGTCCGCTCGGAGTCCGCTCGGCTCCGCTCGGAGTCCGCCAAAATGTACTCGAGTCCACTGTAAATACATTTTGGCGGAGCACCGCCGGAGTTCGCTCGGAGTCCGGCGGCTCCGCCGGAGTCCGCTCGGAGTCCGGCGGCTTCGCCGCGGACTCGACTCCGCGACGGATAGTGCCAAGCTATGTGCTCCTGTGACGACAGCAGTGAGCAGTTTGTCACTGACGATATATTCTGAGTAACCTTGTTTGGCAGTGTTACCATGATAACAGTTTGTCACTGACGATATATTCTGAGTAACCTTGTTTGGCAGTGTTACCATGATAACAGCTTGTCACTGACGATATATTCTGAGTAACCTTGTTTGGCAGTGTTACCATGATAACATGACCTTATAAATGCTTATAATATTATGTTTATATGGTGTTTTATGACTGACAGTATTAAAAGTTTAGTTTGCTACGAAATGGCGCAGATCACCCTCAAATACTGTGCTCTGATCGGTTAGAAATATGGTTCAGATAACCCTGACGAATGAGATGTGCGGGGTGAATGATAGTGTTCTCTGTTCATCTAGCCCTACAAAGGAAGTTTCTATTGTTATAGAGGTATTTTAGAGCTGCAACCCCCCCCCCCCCCCCTCCCACAAGCCAATCTAAATTGCGCTAAATTTGAAAGATAAAATAAAAAACCTGGCTGCCGCCTGAAACTTAACACAGTAACATTAGATAAATATTTATTAGTATTATTAATGATTCTTTCTAGCGTTTTAGTAGTTTTTATTGAGTAATTTTTACAGTCTGACAATAAAATTGTCAGACTTTTAGTAATGAGTAGGATATAAAGTCTGTCTCTTGACAAACTTAATCCGTTTAGTTTTGCAACATTGTAACAGAGTAACGCTGTAACCATGGTAACCCTGCAACATGTCACTCCTGCAGGATATTGAGCAGTACGAGAACAGCAGGACAGGAGAAAGATACGACCCGGAAACCACCGTCCTCTCAGAACTGCACCCCAAGGAGCTGGACTATCTCAGAACACTGTCTCTAGAGAGATACAACGAGAAGAATACAGGAGTTGTAGCTTCCATACCTAAAGGTAACCATAGTAACCATAGTAACCATAGTAACCATACCTAAAGGTGAGCCCCGCTCTTCATCTTAGCAGAACTTAGTGATTGTTCTAGAACATTCTAGATGGTGAGCTTCAGGTATTGGCGATCAAGTCTGTAACATTAGCTTCAGGTATTGGTGATCAAGTCTGTAACATTAGCTTCAGGTATTGGTGATCATGTCTGTAACATTAGCTTCAGGTATTGGTGATCAAGTCTGTAACATTAGCTTCAGGTATTGGTGATCAAGTCTGTAACATTAGCTTCAGGTATTGGTGATCAAGTCTGTAACATTAGCTTCAGGTATTGGTGATCAAGTCTGTAACATTAGCTTCAGGTATTGGTGATCAAGTCTGTAACATTAGCTTCAGGTATTGGTGATCAAGTCTGTAACATTAGCTTCAGGTATTGGTGATCAAGTCTGTAACATTAACTTCAGGTATTGGTGATCAAGTCTGTAACATTAGCTTCAGGTATTGGTGATCATGTCTGTAACATTAGCTTCAGGTATTGGTGATCAAGTCTGTAACATTAGCTTCAGGTATTGGTGATCAAGTCTGTAACATTAGCTTCAGGTATTGGTGATCAAGTCTGTAACATTAGCTTCAGGTATTGGTGATCAAGTCTGTAACATTAGCTTCAGGTATTGGTGATCAAGTCTGTAACATAAGCTTCAGGTATTGGTGATCAAGTCTGTAACATTAACTTCAGGTATTGGTGATTAAGTCTGTAACATTAGCTTCAGGTATTGGTGATCAAGTCTGTAACATTAGCTTCAGGTATTGGTGATCAAGTCTGTAACATTAGCTTCAGGTATTGGTGATCAAGTCTGTAACATTAGCTTCAGGTATTGGTGATCATGTCTGTAACATTAGCTTCAGGTATTGGTGATCAAGTCTGTAACATTAGCTTCAGGTATTGGTGATCAAGTCTGTAACATTAGCTTCAGGTATTGGTGATCAAGTCTGTAACATTAGCTTCAGGTATTGGTGATCAAGTCTGTAACATTAGCTTCAGGTATTGGTGATCAAGTCTGTAACATTAGCTTCAGGTATTGGTGAACAAGTCTGTAACATTAGCTTCAGGTATTGGTGATCAAGTTTGTAACATTAGCTTCAGGTATTGGTGATCAAGTCTGTAACATTAGCTTCAGGTATTGGTGATCAAGTCTGTAACATAAGCTTCAGGTATTGGTGATCAAGTCTGTAACATTAGCTTCAGGTATTGGTGATCAAGTCTGTAACATTAGCTTCAGGTATTGGTGATCAAGTCTGTAACATTAGCTTCAGGTATTGGTGATCAAGTCTGTAACATTAGCTTCAGGTATTGGTGATCATGTATGTAACATTAGCTTCAGGTATTGGTGATCAAGTCTGTAACATTAGCTTCAGGTATTGGTGATCAAGTCTGTAACATAAGCTTCAGGTATTGGTGATCAAGTCTGTAACATTAGCTTCAGGTATTGGTGATCAAGTCTGTAACATAAGCTTCAGGTATTGGTGATCAAGTCTGTAACATTAGCTTCAGGTATTGGTGATCAAGTCTGTAACATTAGCTTCAGGTATTGGTGATCAAGTCTGTAACATTAGCTTCAGGTATTGGTGATCAAGTCTGTAATATAAGCTTTAGTAAGATCGCTCACTTTTGTTATACCTGTAATCATTACTTCGTCTAAACCTTTATTAATAACACTATAACAGTCTATAACTATAGTTCTATTACCTGTATTCAATGCAACCGTAGTTTATCGCACATCATTCTCCAGTTTTACCATAGTTACACTACTAGTTACCATAGTAACATTCTCCAGTTTTACGTAATTCAGAGCAGAGAAGACATGTATATTTTCTAAACTGTCTATTTTCTTACTCCGTTGTGATAATTGAGTGAGATTATTACAGCTGTACAATACCGCAGCAGCTCTGTGTCAGGTATAGTAGCAAATCCCGGTAACAGATGAAATTAGTATTACAGATCCCATGGAAATAACGTATAAATAAATTGTTATAATTTAACCTACAGAAAGGTAGAACCTGATTAATATAATATAATATAAGTGATATTACAGTGAGGTATAACATTTACAGAGTGCACATACAGTATTACAGTACGTGCACTGTATTACAGTATTACAGCACGTGCACTGTATTACAGTATTACAGCGCGTGCACTGTATTACAGTATTGCAGCACGTGCACTGTATTACAGTATTACAGCACGTGCACTGTATTACAGTATTACAGCACGTGCACTGTATTACAGTATTGCAGTACGTGCACTGTATTACAGTATTGCAGCACGTGCACTGTATTACAGTATTACAGCACGTGCACTGTATTACAGTATTACAGCACGTGCACTGTATTACAGTATTGCAGTACGTGCACTGTATTACAGTATTGCAGTACGTGCACTGTATTAGTCTCTTGAAACTGGGTAATTACAATTCATATTCACAGTAGTACTTCCAGACAAGAATACATAGAAATGCTGTTGCTATGGTTACAGTTTGTACTGTAACCATAGTAACCAGTTTGGAGCACTGCAATTTTAGCTTGTTTTGTTTAGCACGTGTCGCACAGTGTAGGTTTCCAGTTTACGTATTTAATTCTCATCGCTCGTCTAAAAATGCGAGAGTACGACTGCATTGCCAATTTCTTAACCGGTAAACCTTAATTTCATTCAAAATTTCAAATGCTTGAGGTAGAAAAATATTTTACAGTGACATGACTATCAAAAACCCACTGCAACCTGAACCTATGTACCCTATAACCCTACAAAAATTGTTATTTGAATCCAAAGGTCCAAGAACGAGATTTGATTTTTGATAAAGAGGGGTATGGTAGTCCTAGCTAAGAGACTAAAATGATCACAGAAAAATCAATGTTTTCATAAATCTGGTGCAAAACTGGCTTCATCTAAAATAATAAAATAATAAGCAAATTTTAAAAGTAACATTTCAGACCCGGGAAGGAAGCTGAAAAGAACAAGTTCATATCGCGGAAAAAAGTCTGTAGAGAAAGAGAACCACAGTAAGTAACCATAGTAACCACAGTAAGTAATGTGTATAATGTGTATAATGTGTATAATGTGTATAATGTGTACAATGTGTATAATGTGTATAATGTGTATAATGTGTATAATGTGTATAATGTATAGTATTGTGCGCTAAATTCTATTTCCCCTCAGAGCTGCTGGCTGGAGGAATATTTGAAATGCCTCTACACGTGGTGCTACAGATAGACGCCATCAACACTAACAGAGATCAGGAACCCCCTACCTGTATACGAGATGTGAAGAGGAAGAACAAGGAGGAAGGAGGGATAAGTATGATCCGCTCTCTCACTCCCAGACTTGGCAGACGCTTCGGATCTCTTAAAGGTAAAGTTACTGTAAAATAGTGCTTAATCAGGGGTAATAAGCTCTGTAGTAAACGTAAAAACGTAACGTAACAACGTAACGTAACAACTGTCGTAGCAACACAATCTCAGCTCCCAACTCAGTCAAGCATACAGATGCAAATAATTCACCACACTGTTTGTTACACACTGATAACGAAGCCTCAAGTTAACCACTCTATTACTCAGCTCGCTCCATTTCTCCGATAAATCTATCCTCTCGCTTCCAAAACGGAGCAGTGGATGATAGCGATTGTCTCAAGGTCCCCAACAATTTAGGTACCATATCTCTTAATTCTGGACACGTCCTTTTCTCTTTTGATTCCGGAGTTTATTATTTCTTTGGTGTGTCTTTCATTTTTTGAAAGTATTTTATATGAATTTTTGATTATCTCATCATCAAACAAATTGTAATTTCCATCTGTATTATATCTTACTATATATAGGGTTATAACCGGTCCCCAAACAGAACAAATCATATATTATTATAAAGGAGTAATCATATAGTGTGTTTTCAGTGTGCCGCTCATTCTCCACTCCCAACACTCCTATGGATAGTCGGAAGAAGAGACCTGTTAGTCCCACCGCCTCTCTAACGTGTAACTATGGTAACCATGGTAACACCAACTCTAACAACACCCCTACTCTTGATGACCTCGTCTCCAAACTCAGCAACTTTAGTCGCGCTATAAACGGTACGTTCTTCTAGGCGGTCATAAGGTTGTCTTAATAGTGAAAGTTACAGAACTTACCGAAATTTCTGAGGTGAATGTTTTACCAATTACTTTAATCTAAATTCAAACAATGGACGGTTTCAATTCAAGCAACTCGCCTACAATTTGTATTCCTAAAGTTAATAATTCCAGGGAGCAGCAAATCTCTGTTCGATGACTCGGAGTTGAATAAGCACGAGATCCCTATAATACTGAAGAACTGCTGCCAATTCGTTTTACAGAACGGTACAGACATTTCTAACCATAGCTTCTGCTACCTTTAGACATGTTTTAAATATGTAGTAACCATGGTAACGCATAGTAACCATGGTAACGCATGTAGTTCTGGAGGTTAATCAAATGAGTTAATTTATCCTTTAAAATGTCATATAAAGTAACGGTTTGGCACGTATTATTTTTCAACTTATCCCGTACCGTAACCATGGTAACGCACCGCGCAGGTTAAGTGGGTAACATTACTATTATCAATCCAAAATGCGTAGCACGGGGGATTATTTTAATTTAACCTTAAGCGTGAGACGTTTTGTGTTGTAAACTCCTCCGGGAGATACTACTGGGAGTAATTTGTTTTGCAATTTACCTTTTATCCTTGTTATCTAAGATAAGTATGGAAAATGGAATTGGAGAAGTAAGGGCTGTAACCATGGTAACGTGTAACTATGGTAACGTATGGGAGTATATATAACTAAATAAATAAAACTAAGGTACTTTGATGGCTGAAGTTGGTGTTATGTTTTTAAGTAGTTCCTCAATCCGTACGACGACCTTGTGATGCGAATTATTTAATATTGAGGGCTTGAGTCCATTGATTTGGTAAGATTAACGTCACATTCTCCGCAGGTTTGGACCAGCAAGGAATATTCAGAGTATGTGGAGCTAAGAAGCAAGTGAGGACGCTGCGAGCAGAGTTCAACACTACCAGCAACATGAGCGTGCAGTCTGACACTAATGTACATGTTGTGGCGGGACTTATCAAGGAGTTTATAAAGGAACTACCAGAGGCTCTACTCACTAAAACCCTCTACCAACCTTTCATACACTGCAGACGTTAGTTTTACCTTTCATACACTGCAGACGTTAGTTTTACCTTTCATACACTGCAGACGTTAGTTTTACATTTCATACACTGCAGACGTTAGTTTTACCGTTCAGACGTTATTTTTTTCATCGACTTCTTTTTCTTTAAAAAAGCATCAGATGGTTAGAAGTGGTAGGAATTGAAAATGGGTATAGTAAGTAGGTAGGTTTTTCGTATGGTGTCACGTTCACAAAGGAAAACATGCATTACCCTCCGCATACGTTATTTTAATTTAATCCATATATATTCGCCGCGCGCGCAGAGCAGTTATGGTGTCGTCGCCATAGTTGCCCTCCGCATACGTTTGCACGATTTGACGATTGATTGAATTACACTTTCAAATGCGCGGCGCCAAGCATACAATTTGTATTGCAATCCCTACGGTTATTGGAAACCTAGCGTCCGCTAACCGGCACAATTCTTGTTACCGTTCATAGTCATATACTGCAGCATTGCACGCCGCCGCCAAACGCCGCCGCCGCCGCCGATGAATTTCCGGCCACGCTGCCGCCGCCGTTTTCAAACGGCGTACACGGCGTGAACCTGTTTATACTATATACTACTAGATATTACGAGCCTCGTGTCAAAATTCAAAACTGTTAAAAATTTCTCTCCGCGTGGAATTATTCTAGAGGAAAATGTAATCTGCGAAATCACGTAACCTCACGCCAATTACGCCGCCGTCGATTTTAACCATGCCGCCGCCGTTTTGAAAAAACGGCGGCGTGCAGCACTGCACTGCAGACGTTAGATTTACAAATATTTATTGAAACTCTCTCTTCCTCAGAGCTAGAAGCACTTGATGCGAGGTTAGAAGCGTACAGGGAACTGATAAGACTACTCCCCGACTCCAACAGAGACACTCTTCAGTTCCTGCTAAAGTTCTTCAGAGTTGTGGCCGACAACTCCGAGGATAGGGTCGACAATGACGGTCTTCCAGTGAGTTATTTAGTTTTTAGTAGTAGTGGTTACCTGGTTACCCGGTTACCTGGTTACCTGGTTACCTGGTTACCTGGTTACCTGGTTACCTGGTTACCTGGTTACCTGGTTACCTGGTTACCTGGTTACCTGGTTGTTCAGAGTTGTGGCCGACAACTCCGAGGATAGGGTCGACAATGACGGTCTTCCAGTGAGTTATTTAGTTTTTAGTAGTAGTGGTTAGTTATTTACCTGGAGTAAGCCTACCGTAAAGTAAAGTAACATGCTATAATTAACACAGTACACACATAGCAGGTGTTTATAATTCATACTGCGTTACAACTGTTACTAGTAACTACGTTACATGTTAGCATTGCAGTATCGCAAGTTTCTTTGTCGTGCAACAGGCTTTCTGATTATAATGTATTTTACCATTATCATTGGAAATCTAGACTATTGGGAAGATTGTAAGAATTCCAATTAACAAATTAAAAATAACAATTCAAACATATCTATTTCAGATCGAAGGAAACAGGATGGACATCTCGAATTTAGCAGTAGTGATCGGCCCGAACCTGCTTCACAGGCGGAAGAGAGGGGGTCCGGACAGTATCTCCCGACTAGCTCACGAGGCGTGGGAGGCCCCCATAGTTATAGAGGTCGTGAAGGAGCTACTGGAACATCATCAGCTACTCTTCACAGTCAGTCAACTCGTTCACTTACTTTACTTACTTACTTACTTACAGCTACTCTTCACAGTCAGTCAACTCGTTCACTTACTTTACTTACTTACTTACTTACAGCTACTCTTTACAGTCAGTCAACTCGTTTACTTACTTTACTTACTTACTTACAGCTACTCTTCACAGTCAGTCAACTCGTTCACTTACTTTACTTACTTACTTACTTACAGCTACTCTTTACAGTCAGTCAACTCGTTCACTTACTTTACTTACTTACTTACAGCTACTCTTTACAGTCAGTCAACTCGTTCACTTACTTTACTTACTTACTTACAGCTACTCTTCACAGTCAGTCAACTCGTTCACTTACTTTACTTACTTACTTACTTACAGCTACTCTTTACAGTCAGTCAACTCGTTTACTTACTTTACTTACTTACTTACAGCTACTCTTTACAGTCAGTCAACTCGTTCACTTACTTTACTTACTAACTTACAGCTACTCTTTACAGTCAGTCAACTCGTTCACTTACTTTACTTACTTACTTACAGCTACTCTTTACAGTCAGTCAACTCGTTCACTTACTTTACTTACTAACTTACAGCTACTCTTCACAGTCAGTCAACTCGTTCACTTACTTTACTTACTAACTTACAGCTACTCTTCACAGTCAGTCAACTCGTTCACTTACTTTACTTACTTACTTACAGCTACTCTTTACAGTCAGTCAACTCGTTCACTTACTTTACTTACTTACTTACAGCTACTCTTTACAGTCAGTCAACTCGTTCACTTACTTTACTTACTTACTTACAGCTACTCTTTACAGTCAGTCAACTCGTTCACTTACTTTACTTACTTACTTACAGCTACTCTTTACAGTCAGTCAACTCGTTCACTTACTTTACTTACTTACTTACAGCTACTCTTTACAGTCAGTCAACTCGTTCACTTACTTTACTTACTTACTTACAGCTACTCTTTACAGTCAGTCAACTCGTTCACTTACTTTACTTACTTACTTACAGCTACTCTTTACAGTCAGTCAACTCGTTCACTTACTTTACTTACTTACTTACAGCTACTCTTCACAGTCAGTCAACTCGTTCACTTACTTTACTTACTAACTTACAGCTACTCTTTACAGTCAGTCAACTCGTTCACTTACTTTACTTACTTACTTACAGCTACTCTTTACAGTCAGTCAACTCGTTCACTTACTTTACTTACTTACTTACAGCTACTCTTTACAGTCAGTCAACTCGTTCACTTACTTTACTTACTTACTTACTTACAGCTACTCTTCACAGTCAGTCAACTCGTTCACTTACTTTACTTACTTACTTACTTACAGCTACTCTTTACAGTCAGTCAACTCGTTTACTTACTTTACTTACTTACTTACAGCTACTCTTCACAGTCAGTCAACTCGTTCACTTACTTTACTTACTTACTTACTTACAGCTACTCTTTACAGTCAGTCAACTCGTTCACTTACTTTACTTACTTACTTACAGCTACTCTTTACAGTCAGTCAACTCGTTCACTTACTTTACTTACTTACTTACAGCTACTCTTCACAGTCAGTCAACTCGTTCACTTACTTTACTTACTTACTTACAGCTACTCTTTACAGTCAGTCAACTCGTTCACTTACTTTACTTACTTACTTACAGCTACTCTTTACAGTCAGTCAACTCGTTCACTTACTTTACTTACTAACTTACAGCTACTCTTTACAGTCAGTCAACTCGTTCACTTACTTTACTTACTTACTTACAGCTACTCTTTACAGTCAGTCAACTCGTTCACTTACTTTACTTACTAACTTACAGCTACTCTTTACAGTCAGTCAACTCGTTCACTTACTTTACTTACTTACTTACAGCTACTCTTTACAGTCAGTCAACTCGTTCACTTACTTTACTTACTTACTTACAGCTACTCTTTACAGTCAGTCAACTCGTTCACTTACTTTACTTACTTACTTACAGCTACTCTTTACAGTCAGTCAACTCGTTCACTTACTTTACTTACTTACTTACAGCTACTCTTTACAGTCAGTCAACTCGTTCACTTACTTTACTTACTTACTTACAGCTACTCTTCACAGTCAGTCAACTCGTTCACTTACTTTACTTACTTACTTACAGCTACTCTTTACAGTCAGTCAACTCGTTCACTTACTTTACTTACTAACTTACAGCTACTCTTTACAGTCAGTCAACTCGTTCACTTACTTTACTTACTTACTTACAGCTACTCTTTACAGTCAGTCAACTCGTTCACTTACTTTACTTACTTACTTACAGCTACTCTTTACAGTCAGTCAACTCGTTCACTTACTTTACTTACTTACTTACAGCTACTCTTTACAGTCAGTCAACTCGTTCACTTACTTTACTTACTTACTTACAGCTACTCTTTACAGTCAGTCAACTCGTTCACTTACTTTACTTACTTACTTACAGCTACTCTTTACAGTCAGTCAACTCGTTCACTTACTTTACTTACTAACTTACAGCTACTCATTACAGTTCATTGTTCAATTTTCCTCCAATTTAAGGGTCACCCTTAATTGCAGATTTGAGTCGTACCAAAGTGTTTACCTACCTTATATGTTACCTATGTTAATATCACCAAAGCAATTTCTTCCTTAATAAAATTGCTTAATAAAGGCCAGCTTACCCTTTAAAAACACGGTTAAGGGTGAACTTGTAACTGAAGAAGTTTTATAATCGTATCGCAGGTTACTACTAACAAGACACTACTAACTACTAACCATTACGCAGGTGGAATGTTATTTGAGAAAAGAAGTGCTGAGAAGGATGCAGGAAACTAAGCAGAGCCACTTTAACGATGTTTTGAACGGGTACACGGGCACTGAAGAGGACGGTAGAGGCCGCCTAACTCCTGATAACCAGGTAATCATAGTAACCAGGTAACCAGGTAACCAGGTAGCCAGGTAACCAGGTAACCAGGTAACTAGGTAACCAGGTAACCAGGTAACCAGGTAATCATAGTAACCAGGTAATCATAGTAACCAGGTAACCAGGTATCCAGGTAGCCAGGTAACCAGGTAACCAGGTAACTAGGTAACCAGGTAACCAGGTAACCAGGTAATCATAGTAACCAGGTAATCATAGTAACCAGGTAACCAGGTAACCAGGTAACCAGGTAAACAGCCTAACTCCTGATATCTCACTTGAAAGCAAGGTTTGAAGAGGCCGCCTAACTCCTGGTTACCTGGTAACCTGGTAACCTGGTAACCAGATAACCAGGTAACTAGGTAACCAGGTAACCAGGTAACCAGGTAACCAGGTAACCAGGTAACCAGGTAACCAGGTAACCAGCCTAACTCCTGATATCTCACTTGAAAGCAAGGTTTGTAATAATAATAAAAAATAAACGCTTGAAGGCATTCAAGACCGTTAAAAATCCGCAATTTTTTTCATCTTTTTTAACCTTTTTGCCAATGAGATTTATTTTGCCCAATTTGACCAGCTGGTGTAGGTCTCTCAATAATTATTTCACCGATTTCCTTTCGTGTGTAATAACGTCCAAAGCTGTGTTGCGAAAACTTACAAATGTGCAAGGTATCCAGGTAACCAGGTAACCAGGTAACCAGGCCTACGCGGTATCGTACCGTGTTTTAACTTGGGAGAATGACGTTACCATGGTAACACGTGACCAAGAGACAATTTTAACAAGTCTCACACCTCTCACAAACAAACTACACAGGACTACACTGTGGCGAGTAAGCGGAGAAGACTGCAGGACACAAGACTACAGGACACAAGACTACAGGACACAAGACTACAGGACACAAGACTTATACAGGACAGGCGAAATGAAGTGCAAAAACTCACACGAACTGACGAACAAACATACGCACGAGCTTACCAACAAACACAAACACGAGCTTATGACCAAACACAATGGATAGGAACTAGTGACAATGATTACACCGACCTTTACCCACAAATAATGCTCACTCCGACTGAATCACAAACTGAAATGTTTTCTTGCAATGTCCCGAAAGTTATTTTATCAAAACATGAACTTGAAGAAAATGTGTTGGAAGATGACACCTTTTACTACAAACCACAAACCGCCTACTTGAAAACATCTCATAGCACAAAAAGTTTAAATTCTAATAAATTGAACAATAACGTTGGGTATGAGTGTGAGAAGTGTGCAGGAAGCGGGGGTGAGAAGTGTGATAGTAACCTAAAATCAAGGATCAACACAATGTGGGGTGAGATGAGGAGACGAAGCAAGGAAAAGTGGGTGAGTTGGAAAACTGCCAATAAACTTAACTTGTCAAAGAGACTGACAAGATCTGTGTTTCTAAAACACTGGCGTGAGAATTATCATAGTTACCATGGTTACCGGCGTAAGAATCATCACTCTTCTTTACGTGATCTTTCTAACGTTGAAGTAAAAGCACTTTGTTACTGAGCACCTCCTTGACGATTTGTTATTTTTGAGACATTTCATAATTATATTTCTATGATCGTTTCTCTTGTTATAAAAGTTCAACGACGTGTCAAAAATTGTGTGAAATATATATTTCATAGTCATACAATTTTCTATATATAGAAAAATAAAGCGGGCTATTGCAAAAACGCTTAGTTCAGACCTTTTCTACAAGTTTACTACAAAAAATCTTTGAAAATGCTGACACTGCCATCACATAGCAGCTAAAACTGAATAACTATTGTAGAGAGTTTAAGAATGTATATTTCAGGGAGAGTCTAGGTCGAACTTGTCCTCCAGTCAGAACCTTTCCTCCAGTCAGAATCTGTCCTCCAACCAGCGCCACCTGATGAACGGGAGCAGCGGGTTTGTGAGTGGGGGATGCAGCAGTAATGGTAGCACTGAGAGTCTGCAATACAAACCCTGTTCTAACAAGTAAGCTACTCATTTAATTTCTTTCTTTTATCAAACATTTGAAACATTTCAAAGTGTGTTGTTGTCTAAATTCTATATTGACCATCTTATCGGACGTTATTTGACTGGATATTGTGTAAACGGACAAACACGCAAGGGGCCATCTACTTAGGACGTCCGCCAATATTTGAGCGCACATGAACGCTAGGGCCTCTATAAACAGTGTCTAATTGATGTCCGTTCGAATAAAGTTCTAGAAGGTATAGAATCTATACCTTCAGCAGAGACGAGTGCAGAATGGGATACTGTGAGAGACAGCACTCTTCACCAGAACTCAACAACCTCAACCTTGAAAAAGATAGTCGCAAACGTCTTAGCAGATCACTTGATGTAAGTGTAACACATGGTAACCGTTACGCCGCGCACTGGTCCATTGTCATGGTAACCGTTACGCTGCGCACTGGTCCATTGTCATGGTAACCGTTACGCTGCGCACTGGTCCATTGTCATGGTAACCGTTACGCCGCGCACTGGCCCATTGTCTTAGTTATAATCAAAGCATTTCTTAGCAAAGGGGTTAAATTTAATAAGTACTGCTATGCGATCCACACAGCGTCTGATGTACCAGTATGGAGACAAAATGGTACTGGTAGCAATGTTTGTCACTAAACGGAATTTAGATGTGCCGGGTTGGCATTGGCAAGTGAGTTACCATGGTAACAAGTGAGGATAGGTTCTCCTTATTTACAGCTTATGTTTGCAGAAGGACGACATCTGTGACAACTCAGTTAGTTACCATGACAACTCAGACATGCCCTTCGAGGTGGAAGATGCGACGAGTTCCAGCGAGGGACTATTTAGCAAAGACTCTGCATACGACCTGACTCCACCTTGTAAGTAAAAATTGTTCTTAGTTAGTTACCATGGTAACGTTACCTTGGCCAGTTGGTAGATCACCGACCGGCTATAAGCCGGCTACTAACCGGCTAATAGCCGTTTTCGCTGAATTACTTATAGCCGGCTCCTGACTATCGTTCAGTTTAGCTATAAAAATTGTAGCCGGCTATAAGCCGGCTTATAGCCGGTTAGTAGCCGCTTACATTTGTTGTTGAGCGACGGCTATTAGCCGGTTATAAGCCTGCTATTAGCCGTTTTGGTATTAAAAGTGGTTATAAGCCGGCTATAAGCCGGTTATAAGATATTAACTCAACTACATCGTACTGAACGATAGTCAGGAACCGGCTATAAGAAATTCAGTGAAAACGGCTATTAGCCGGTTATAAGCCGGCTATTAGCCGGCTACTAACCGGCTTATAGCCGGCTTATAGCCGGCTACAATTTTTATAGCCGGCTATAAGCCGGCTTATAGCCGGTTAGTAGCCGCTTACATTTGTTGTTGAGCGACGGCTATTAGCCGGTTATAAGCCTGCTATTAGCCGTTTTGGTATTAAAAGTGGTTATAAGCCGGCTATAAGCCGGTTATAAGATATTAACTCAACTACATCGTACTGAACGATAGTCAGGAGCCGGCTATAAGAAATTCAGTGAAAACGGCTATTAGCCGGTTATAAGCCGGTTATTAGCCGTTTAGGTATCGAAAGTGGTTATAAGCCGGTTATAAGATATTAACTCAGTTCAGTACGATGAAGTTAAGTTAATATCTTATAGCCGGCTTATAGCCGGCTTATAACCACTTTCGATACCTAAACGGCTAATAGCCGGCTTATAACCGGCTAATAGCCGTTTTCGCTGAATTACTTATAGCCGGCTCCTGACTATCGTTCAGTACGATGTAGTTGAGTTAATATCTTATAACCGGCTTATAGCCGGCTTATAACCACTTTCGATACCTAAACGGCTAATAGCCGGCTTATAACCGGCTGTAATAATTGTAGCCGGCTATAAGCCGGTTTATAGCCGGCTTTTAACCGGCTTATAGCCGGTCGGTGATCTACCAATTTCCCCGTTACCTTATATGGTAATGTAACCATGGTTAACATGACCTGACTCCACCTTGTAAGTAAGTTACCATGGTCAGCAATGTAACCATGATAGCGTGGTAGTTTGATTTATGTCAAACGGCCGTGATTTTGCCCAACTTTTCATTATATTCATACATTATGTGGACATATTATATAAATATATTCGTCCCTTCTGGGGCGCTAGTTTTAACGTAAGAAAGAGCTTACTTATCAACCCTCACCCTAATACTTTAGCGTCTCCAGTTTTCGAGAGAAACGCAAACGACAGAACACTGTTTTGCGCGAAACCAGGCAAGGCTTCTGCAAAATCTGGACTTGGAGCCCTCTCTCCCAACCAAACCTTCACCTCATTCCGTCTGGTTAGTAAATAGTATTACCTTATATGGCATTGTTACCATGGTGACACTCCCTTATATGGTATTGTTACCATGGTGACACTCCCTTATATGGTATTGTTACCGTGGTGACACTCCCTTATATGGTATTGTTACCATGGTGATACTCCCTTATATGGTAGTGTGGAGCTCTCTCTCTGATCAAAGCCCTATTTCATTCTGTTTAGTTCAGGTTAATAAAATAAATGGTTTTAAAGACTCTAACTGTAATGCTTGTTGTTCATTACCATGGTAACCACTGTAACCATAGCAACTAACTGATCTCCATCCATTAGTTGTTTGTACTAACTGTAATTCTATCCCAGGATAAGATGACTGTAGGAGGAAGTCAACAAGCTCCCGCTAGTCCCCGACTCGGTGAGTCCAGGAGAGCCGCCATGAAGAAAGGGAACCCCCGCAACTTGAGACCTCCGCGCAAAGTACTGGCAGAATCTCAGCGACAGAGTCAAGTGTAGCCATGGTAACCACTCTTACCTGAGTCAAGTGGTGTCCTTTTTTAGGCATCACGTGATAATTACTACATCACAGTTACTATGGTAACACAGCATCATGACATCACCCCGCGTGAAATGGCAGCTTGAGCCTTGAAGTGACGCCACAAATAGAAACATCTCGTCACGCATTGTCGAAGTGACGTCACAAATAGAAACATCTCGTCACGCATTGTTGAAGTGACGTCACAAATAGAAACATCTCGTCACGCATTGTTGATGTGACGTCACAAATAGAACCATCTCGTCACGCATTGTCGAAGTGACGTCACAAATAGAACCATCTCGTCACGCATTGTTGATGTGACGTTACAAATAGAAACATCTCGTCACGCATTGTCGAAGTGACGTTACAAATAGAACCATCTCGTCACGCATTGTTGATGTGACGTTACAAATAGAAACATCTCGTCACGCATTGTTGAAGTGACGTCACAAATAGAACCATCTCGTCACGCATTGTCGAAGTGACGTCACAAATAGAACCATCTCGTCACGCATTGTTGATGTGACGTTACAAATAGAAACATCTCGTCACGCATTGTTGAAGTGACGTCACAAATAGAACCATCTCGTCACGCATTGTCGAAGTGACGTTCTAGAAATACTCACTTTGACAGCTGTCTCCAAGGAAATCTTATTTCTTTGACCAAAAAACTAAAGTTTCGATATCAGTAAGAAGGTAACCGCCAAAAACAGGAAAATACTCAAATACAATGTGATCCGAGTTAAACTGACACAGTGGCTTTTCTATATCAAGCTACACAGAGTTACAGACTGTGTATAATAATGTTACAGACTGTATATAATACTATAACTGACTGTTATCGAAATGTTTATTAATTTAGCGTAGATTTTATCTTATTTTATTAAGATTTTAGTATCGATTTAATGCATGATATTTTTATACTGTAAGAATTTAAAACCATCTGACTCGTAAAATACTTTATTCACAGTAACCTTAAAATGTTGCACTGGCTTTTGTGAATTAAATGCATTATTTTTTCCAAACATTTGCATACCTTATCGGACATAATTGTCAAGGACAAGTTTTTCATAAACCAAATTTTCACGCTCATTACCGCCCAAAAATGAAAAATGTCCAACAAATTTTTGATGATTTTTAATAAGTGTTTTACTCCTTTTCTGAACTCTAGAATGTGACGGAGGAGTGATTATATTTGTTCTAGTATACTAATAAACTAATATAGTAATCGGCTACACAGTACACACATATCTACGCATATGTAGGGACACACACTAAAAAAAATAATTACCGGACTTTATTATTCACGGACCTTAATGCCACAGACATTATTTTCACGGACTTAATTATTCACGCTAAGGTCTTCAGCGTGAAAGTAATGTCCGCGCCGTGATAATTATGACCGATAAGGTAGTCATACATTTCAACATGCACCATGATATGAAATCATAAAATTTGCGGAAATTCGAATCAAAATGGTCCAGTATTAAAATGGTCCACGAATTCGGTGTTTAAATTTGAAGTAAAATGATAGTATTAGTGACAATAATCTGTATTGAATATTCCCACACTTCCGCTCTGTTTGGATTTCACTAGGTGCGGCCTATAAGTATATGAGGCTGCCTCTGCTCGACGGTGATTACGTTTAAATCTGATACAAATGAGTGCTGAAAAAGCTAAGTGAACATTTAAAACAGTGATGCACGCCGGTTCATTTTTCGCCAACCGGCAGCGGCGTGCCCAAAATGGCCCGGCGTGGCGGCGTTCGGCGGCGTGGAACATAATTTTGTCAAAATTTAGCTGAACTACAATTATCAATGCTACCATCAGAAAACTCTAGTTTGTACTTTCAACTTTCATGAGTATAATGACTTTAAGTGTTACAATACCTGGAATCAATGTTATTGTAATGTGACCTAATCACTGTTATTGTAATATGACCTAATTTTGTTAATTCCTGTTAATTCCTAATTCCTGTTATGTTTCAATAAATAGGAATGTTCATATTAAACGGCTAATACAAGAAAAAGGTCTTCCTTTTGTTAAAAGAAACATTGTATCGTCCAAAAAAATTTGCTTTGAAATTTTTTTAAATTTTCACGCCACGCCGACTTGAGAGGTATCGGCGTGGCGGCGTGTGAAAATGTGCCGGCGCGGCGGCGTCCGGCGGCGGCGTGCATCACTGATTTAAAACAAGAATTTCGCCGCGGCTAAACCACGCACGATCAATTTTCCCGGCCCTACGATGTACTTGTACCATTAATTCTTTTGAGTGAAAAGTGTGACTGGAAAAAAAGTGCAACATATTTACACACTATAATAAATGAATCCAGAAAATTGTGGAAAATAACTTTGCGAAGGAGGAACTTCACTGTAAGTGTAATTAATTAACACATAGCTAGCGTCGCGCGCAGCATAACAGATGCTTCCTATACACATAATTATAGGTTAGTGGTCTATATTGCGAAGGAGCAGACTTTTGTCGTCAACGTAGGACCGTCGGGCCACCTCATATATCCAAACCTGATTACTTATTCCCTACGATCTTTTTGTCTTCGGCAAGAGCAGGGAAAAAATCACTTCACATGTAGAGAGGAGGGGGTTGATTCTGGAGTTCAGTAAAATATTACATACACATATACGTGAATATTCCGGACTCAAACAGAAAATATACGTGAATATTCCGGACTCAAACAGTGAATATATGTGAATATTCCGGACTCAAACAGTGAATATACGTGAATATTCCGGACTCAAACAGAAAATATACGTGAATATTCCGGACTCAAACAGTGAATATACGTGAATATTCCGGACTCAAACAGTGAATATACGTGAATATTCCGGACTCAAACAGAGAATATGCGTGGTTATTCCGGACTCAAACAGTGAATATGCGTGAATATTCCGGACTCAAACAGAAAATATACGTGAATAATCCGGACTCAAACAGTGAATATACGTGAATATTCCGGACTCAAACAGAGAATATGCGTGGTTATTCCGGACTCAAACAGTGAATATACGTGAATATTCCGGACTCAAACAGAGAATATGCGTGGTTATTTCTGACTCAAACAGAGAATATACGTGAATATTCCGGACTCAAACAGTGATTATGCGTGGTTATTCCGGACTCAAACAGTGAATATACGTGAATATTCCGGACTCAAACAGAGAATATGCGTGAATATTCCGGACTCAAACAGAGAATATGCGTGAATATTCCGGACTCAAACAGTGAATATACGTGAATATTCCGGACTCAAACAGAGAATATACGTGAATATTCCGGACTCAAACAGTGAATATACGTGAATATTCCGGACTCAAACAGAGAATATACGTGAATATTCCGGACTCAAACAGTGAATATACGTGAATATTCCGGACTCAAACAGTGAATATACGTGAATATTCCGGACTCAAACAGAGAATATGCGTGGTTATTCCGGACTCAAACAGTGAATATGCGTGAATATTCCGGACTCAAACAGTGATTATGCGTGGTTATTCTGGACTCAAACACTCAAACAGTGAATATGCGTGGTTATTCCGGACTCAAACAGTGAATATACGTGAATATTCCGGACTCAAACAGTGAATATACGTGAATATTCCGGACTCAAACAGAGAATATACGTGGTTATTCTGGACTCAAACAGTGAATATGCGTGGTTATTTCTGACTCAAACAGAGAATATACGTGAATATTGCGGACTCAAACAGAGAATATACGTGGTTATTCCGGACTCAAACAGTGAATATACGTGGTTATTCTGGACTCAAACAGTGAATATGCGTGGTTATTCCGGACTCAAACAGTGAATATACGTGAATATTCCGGACTCAAACAGTGAATATACGTGAATATTCCGGACTCAAACAGTGAATATACGTGAATATTCCGGACTCAAACAGAGAATATGCGTGGTTATTCCGGACTCAAACAGTGAATATGCGTGAATATTCCGGACTCAAACAGTGATTATGCGTGGTTATTCTGGACTCAAACACTCAAACAGTGAATATGCGTGGTTATTCCGGACTCAAACAGTGAATATACGTGAATATTCCGGACTCAAACAGTGAATATACGTGAATATTCCGGACTCAAACAGAGAATATACGTGGTTATTCTGGACTCAAACAGTGAATATGCGTGGTTATTTCTGACTCAAACAGAGAATATACGTGAATATTCCGGACTCAAACAGAGAATATACGTGGTTATTCCGGACTCAAACAGTGAATATACGTGGTTATTCTGGACTCAAACAGTGAATATGCGTGGTTATTCCGGACTCAAACAGTGAATATACGTGAATATTCCGGACTCAAACAGAGATTATGCGTGGTTATTCCGGACTCAAACAGTGAATATGCGGGCGTCCATTATGACCAAATGCAGGATTTAACATATATGGATACTATTAAACAATTTATAGAGATGATATTTTTTAAATGTTGAGATGCTTTCTAAGAGTGGTGATTGAACCATTCTCTGTTATAGGTTCCCGTTCATGTACGTTGATTTCCGTAAACCTAAAAAGTTTAATTTGCGTTTAGCTGGCATGTCACGTGACCAAAGGCTCCTCAGACACTCAGAAAAGCATTTTTACTCTATGACATTCGGAATTTGAGCGTTCAGGTCCTTGTTACCATGGTAACGCTCAGGTCCCAGAGATATAAACGTTTAGTGGTGCAGAGTGGTACAATACTAATCACCATATTTTTGACTCAAAATTTGAGGAACCTTTGCTACACGTTGTATACCTCTCTTGCACGCGAAGCGTGCACGCCGGCCGGCCGGCCGCGCGCGCTTCGCGCGCGATCAAAATGGGTTGCAGCGTGTGTCAAAGAAACCTCAGGTTACAAATAATAGATGTAGCGCTCCTATAGTAATGTTACCATGGTAATGTCTTTTTATAGATGCATACTGGAATAATAACTGTGAACTGTCAACTGTGCAGGATAAATGTTTTTTCAAATTATTGATTCTCTAACAGTTCTAACAGATATAAGTGCTGATATTTTGAAACACGAAGGGCTTCTTTTTGCCAATTTTCATGAAGTGTTAAAATTATTATTTTCACCGTGAAACTGCAATGAAATTTGTGACTTTTTGGATATTCCTTTGGTCTTTTCATATTATAATGATCAATAATAATTTGTACAAAAATCTCAATATTGTTGTTCACTTTGTACCATTCAGTTGAAAAACTACACTAGGTAGTGTTACCATGGTAATATTACCATGGTCACATTTACCATGGTAACAGTTGATGCAGAGTCCTACAAAAAGTGTTCACACTTAACAAATGCAATTACAACACTCTCTACAGGGCTGTACCACTTACAATATATCACAAGCCCGGCTATCTTCCAGGCAACCTGGCTGACAGTGTCTTTCTGACAGTGTGAGTAGTTTCCGTATTATCGGAGTTCATAGTTGCAGTGCGTACTTTCGTTTCGGCTGCGATTATCAAATTAAAGTTGTGTTTTGATTGTATTTTTTTTCTTGAAATTTTCAAATTTTTGTTTTTTGTTAATTTTCTAAGTATACACTGCTATTTTACTTTTATAAAGCGAGTCCCTGCTAGTTATATTTTATATGTATTATACACGACTATTACTATTAGAGTGGTAGCTCGTCAACACAGCAGGTTTTGATGATAAATAATTGAGCGGAAAAACCTTGTCACGCCGGGATGCTTGTAGTTAAGCTAAAATTGGTGACATCTAATTCTAATTAAGTAATTAAGACCTCAAACTAACCCTAACCCCCCCCTCAAACTCTTTTATTCAGTACAGACTTGACGACTTGCCAGTACTGATTATATGAATAATTACACAGTTACCATGGTAACGTTATCTTATAATTACGCAGTTTGTACGTGAGCATCCTCATCATTTGCATGAATGTAAATTGTTAGATTGTACATGCATATTGGATAATGGATATTATATATTATATAATGGATATTATATATTGGGTTTTGGCTATAATTCTATAGTACAAAGACGAATATTATTGAAATTTTGCTTGCAATGAAGTTCTGACAAAATCCTCGTTTCTTCAATGCAGCGGAACAGGAAACTTATTTAAGATATAACTATAAGGAACCACAGAAAACAAACTCCATGCACGATTTCTATTTTCTTGATATTATTTGGAATGATCTCAATATAGAATTAAGTGAGCTATATACAGTATATAGTATACTATTACTATATACTATATACTGTATACTATATAATGTATAATATACTGTCTACTACTCTACTATATAATGTATATACTATATAGTATATACTATATAATGTATATACTGTCTACTATATAATGTATATACTGTCTACTACTCTACTATAATGTTATTTCCCTGCCACTCCTCAACACAGGCAGGAGACTGGACAAGAGGAATCAATTTCATAGGATCTGCTTCATAATTCAAGAAACCAATATTGATATGCTTCATTAGTAGTATATACTACTTTCATTCATGATAATCTATCTCTATATAATTACAAAAACTATACAGTATATCAATAAGGAAGGAACTGCAACAGTGACGAAAGGAGAAGTAAACCGGGAAACGAGATCTATAAGAGAGTGGAGCTAACTACTTCTAGCGAGCGTTGGTTACTTAGTAACCAACCAGTTATCTAGTAACTAGCCAGTTACCTAGTAACCAGCCAGTTACCTAGTAACCAACCAGTTATCTAGTAACTAGCCAGTTACCTAGTAACTAGCCAGTTACCTAGTGACCAGCCAGTTACCTAGTGACCTGCCAGTTACCTAGTAACAAGCCAGTTACCTAGTGACAAGCCAGTTACCTAGTGACCAGCCAGTTACCTAGTGACCTGCCAGTTACCTGGAAACCAGTCAGTTACCTAGTGACAAGCCAGTTACCTAGAAACCAGCCAGTTATCTAGAAACCAACCAGTTACCTAGTGACACGCCAGTTACCTAGTAACACGCCAGTTACCTAGTGACAAGCCAGTTACCAGGTACCAGCCAGTTACCTAGTAACACGCCAGTTACCAGGTACCAGCCAGTTACCTAGTAACACGCCAGTTACCTAGTAACCAGCCAGTTACCTAGAAACCAGCCAGTTACCTAGTAACACGCCAGTTACCTAGTGACAAGCCAGTTACCAGGTACCAGCCAGTTACCTAGTAACACGCCAGTTACCAGGTACCAGCCAGTTACCTAGTAACACGCCAGTTACCTAGTAACCAGCCAGTTACCTAGAAACCAGCCAGTTACCTAGTAACACGCCAGTTACCAGGTACCAGCCAGTTACCTAGTAACACGCCAGTTACCAATACCAGGTACCAGCCAGTTACCTAGCTTGCTGAATGGAATGGGGATCTTGCACAGCATCTATCTCACTATGTCTTCACCCGATCAGCCTATTTCAGGTATTACAAACAGAGATCATATCAAAAGTAGTGACATTTCTGTAGTGTGCGCTGTAGTATTGGGTAACAGGCTTGTCCGCAACCGCCGAACGCCGCCGCCGCTGGTCAATTTGACCACGCCGCACGCCGCCGGTACCACCCCCGGCGTACGACGGCGTCAGGCGCGGCGTGGCGTGAATTAAGTAAAATCGAATTTTTCCGTATGATCATTGCATGCATTTAAAAGTTTCACTCGAAATTCGATTTCAGATTGAAAAATAAAATAAATAGATAAATAAAATTAAAATCAAATTTTTGCACAGCTCAAATTTACTCAAATTTTCGGAAAAAAAAGCACAATAATAGACCACCTGTCTGTCTTACGCCGGCGTACACCGCCGCCGCCCGTAGGTTTCGGGCTCACGCCGCCGCCGACTGGTTTAGCCACGGCGGACAAGCCTGTTGGTTAATATTTCAATAATACACATTGTTTGTTTGGGCCACGTTCATCTGTTTATTTTACGGTGTGTTTGTTAAATGAAACAACCGAAGCGGGAATTTTTGGTAACCAAAAAGTTATTAAAAGTAGCACATTTTGTAAAATGTGTGGTGGGCTACGGTAAACCAAAAAGTTATTAAAAGTAGCACATTTTGTAAAATGTGTGGTGGGCTACGGTAAACCAAAAAGTTATTAAAAGTAGCACATTTTGTAAAATGTGTGGTGGGCTACGGTAAACCAAAAAGTTATTAAAAGTAGCACATTTTGTAAAATGTGTGGTGGGCTACGGTAAACCAAAAAGTTATTAAAAGTAGCACATTTTGTAAAATGTGTGGTGGGCTACGGTAAACCAAAAAGTTATTAAAAGTAGCACATTTTGTAAAATGTGTGGTGGGCTACGGTAAATAATCAATACATTTTTTATCTCATCGACATCTGCAGTAGTGTAAACCTTGTAAACCTTAATCTGGTGGATTCGTGTAGTGTTATTGAGTCCCATTTTGATAGTTCTTTTATTCAAATTTCTGATTGTTTCTGAATAGACTCAGTGAAGACAGATTCTAATGGAAATAAATAGCTGAATAACGTATCGACATTTCTACGTGATCACTATTTGATCTATAAAAATCGATCATGAGACTTGAGTGGAGGGAAAGGGAACCTTTGATGAAACTCTCGGAAAAGCTCGGTAGCGGCTTGATATTATACACCTCACATATATTGACATCCTTCGGATTCTACAGATTTGGAAAAAAAACTATCTCTGTTCGGACGTTGAAGCCGCCCTAAGTCGAGTAAGTCGAGTTTACTATGTGAATTACTGTACCATGTATATCTAGAGTATGCTAATGTTTATACCATACATACCACAGTAGATGTACTCTACAATACCTTACTCGGGAATATTATGACTGGGATAAAGTGGTGGGTTTTGGAAAATTCCGCCATATTTTTCCAAGTCATTAATTTTCCCAGTCATAAATTAACGCGCTATAATATTCCCGAGTAAGGTAAACTAATAGTAATACATTTTGATGCTTGGTGGGTTTTGGAAAATTCCGCCATATTTTTCCCGGTCATTAATTTTCCCAGTCATAAATTAACGCGCTATAATATTCCCGAGTAAGGTAAACTAATAGTAATACATTTTGATGCTTGGTGGGTTTTGGAAAATTCCGCCATATTTTTCCCGGTCGTTAATTTTCCCAGTCATAAATTAACCCGCTATAATATTCCCGAGTAAGGTATACATCACAGTAGATGTACTCTACAATACATGCCACAGTAGATGTACTCTACAATGCATACCACAGCTGTAGATGTACGTGCTTCATATTCATATTTTTTCAGAACAGCTAAGCTAGCCTCCAAACTCGAACCTCAATGTTTGTGGCACAACAAATTACTTTGTTGCGAACAGTACATTTCTCATTTCTCAAACTTGGTATTATTGCTACAAAATAGAGCAGCAATATTACAATAGTGACCGACACCTCCGCAAGCAATATTACAATAGTGACCGCTACCTCCGCGGAGCGTTCAGTAATAAGCAGTGAAGCAGTCAGGTGCATTGTGTCCGTCCGTCCGTTTTACAAGCACAGCTGATAAAATAGCTGATAAGGTGGCCTGTAAAACCAGATATCACCGAGCACTTCACGCTACTTTGTAACGCTGCGTTCAAATCAAGCTCTCTCTCTCTCTCTCTCTCCCACTGTATCTGTATAGGGTGTAATGAGTGCATGCCAGTGCGCGCTCTCTGCTTTATCACGCGTTATTCGTATTACTATCTGCAGCCTTTGTGATCCGCCTCTCTGGATCAGAGAAATGTAGCGCATCTCATCCTTTGTACTCTACTTGATATGATCCCTGCTTCCAGCTCTTTCTAGCACTCTTTTTAAACTGCCCTCGTCAAAGGAAACTACGTATACAGGTGAGTTTCTGCGTTTTGATAAGCAGGATGTTAAAACTGATAACGAGGGAGACTAGAGTCGAGATCAGTATTGAGCTATACTTTGTTTTGATGTAGGAAAATCGCTTTTAGTTTGAGCCAACTTATACTTAGATATGCAAAATAACAAATACTCCTTTCTGTCCAACTATGGTGAGTGTAAAGAATACAGCGTAGAATACCAATAAATTGTAAAATAGAGCTTTTATGATCAGTATTATAAATTCATTTTGTGGAATTTAATTATAAATCAAAAGAACCACTGTTACGTGCAGTTAGTGTAAACGTACAATAAAATAGTGACCGATTTTACAAGGATTGAAAGATTTGAATTATTGTTAAGCAATTGTAATGCCAGACTGAAAAAATAAATAAATAGCAAATAACAGAAAGAATCTATTCTTTAAAACCAGTAAATTTATGAAATAACCGGATATACAGTATCAATGTTAGCAAACAACTTTAGCGTTCCCTCCCAGTGCTTTAAAAAACTTTAGAAGCAATCTCCGTGTTGATTTGTCCGACGTATGGGTTTTCTAGATAGCGTCTATTTTTTCTTCATTCGTCGGAAAGGGGCGACAGTGAGCCTTGACAGGAAACTATTTCTTGAATCAGTTTTCAATTCATCAGAGAAACATGCATTTGCAGTTTTGCTGAGATTTTGCCTTTAATAAAATTGTATTTGTAAAGCATGTCAGTATCGTCAGTGGAGCAATGACGATAAGTATTCGCTTCACTACGTAGTACTGTAGCATCATTCTGCTTGTTTACTGCGTCCTGCTAGTAACCTAGTGACCAGCCAGTTACCTAGTGACACTACTCACGTGCTGTATTTAAGTGTCACTACTACTAAAACTAGAGCAGTTTCTTAGCCTAGGCTGTATCCGGATTGATTGACAAATATCCTTGTGACCGATGGTACTACTGAGTGCTGGTACCATCGGTACACATGCAGTTTGTTAGTTACCATGGTAACGTTACCATGGTAACGGCACGCATTTCAGAGGTGTTTATCCGGCTGAACGCTCACTGAGATCAACACAGTCAGCCTATCAGAAGTAGAGGAATAGCTTCTGTGTAGGTTCCGTGGGTTGGATTTTCTCAGTTCTTCATCTGCACGGCCAGGCGGATGTGTGATGATGCTGTGTTACCATAGTAACCTGGGTGTGTGATTGATATAATACATTGCCCCTGATTGTGGTTCATATCGTCCTATAGTGCAGCAAAGAGCAAGCCTTGATTATATCATTATTTTATTTAAAACCTGGTGAGTGGTGAGGTCTTATTCCAGGTCAATCAGTTTGACACAGAACCAGGTTACCATAGTAACACAGAACCAATCCAAATTGAAAAGTTTTCCGAGATTTGTATGAGTTGGGATTTGGGAAGAACCTCGATACCAAATTGAAAGCTGCTAAAGATTGTATACGGTTATTTGAGGTTATTTTGAACTTTTAGGAATTTTGCACTTCAGTAATATGCTCTGTCGACACTGCCTCGCTACATTTTCTTTTTTCAACAAGCCAATAATTACATCTTTCTGAGGACACGAATTTTAGAGCTTTTAAAAAGCCTAAATGTCTTTACAGAGGCCCTTAAAGTGCTTTTAACGCTTTTTAAATGTAACCAAGTTGAAATCAAACAGAAAGGTTTGAGCAAGTATTTACTAATTCAATGAGACCGTCCACCAGGGTAGGTAGGTATGGGGGTGGGGGGGAGCGCCACTAGGTAGGTGCAGTGGCGGGGGGGGGGGGGGGGGGCGCCACTAGGTAGGTGCAGTGGCGGGGTGGGGGGGAGCGCCACTAGGTAGGTGCAGTGGCGGGGGGGGGGGGGGGGGGGGGCGCCACTAGGTAGGTGCAGTGGCGGGGGGGGGGGGCGCCACTAGGTAGGTGCAGTGGCGGGGGGCGCCACTAGGTAGGTACAGTATGGGGGGGGGGGGGGGCCACTAGGTAGGTGCAGTGGGGGGGGGGCGCCACTAGGTAGGTGCAGTGAGGGGGGCGCCAATAAGTAGGTGCAGTGGGGGGGGGGGCGCCACTAGGTAGGTGCAGTGAGTGAAATGTCAAAGGTTGCCAAGGTTATTCACACTCCCGTAGAATTGGAATTCTAGCACCAAAAATGAAAGAATTAAAACTTCTTATCCACTTATCTGATCGCTTAAAATGGAGGAAGCAATGGGCCTGTAAAGGAGAATGGAATCTGTTGCACTGAGAGCTAGCTGTGTTGCACTAAGAGCTAGCTGTGTTGCACTAAGAGCTAGCTGTGTTGCACTAAGAGCTAGCTGTGTTGCACTGAGAGCTAGCTGTGTTGCACTAAGAGCTAGCTGTGTTGCACTAAGAGCTAGCTGTGTTGCACTAAGAGCTAGCTGTGTTGCACTACGAGCTAGCTGTGTTGCACTAAGAGCTAGCTGTGTTGCACTAAGAGCTAGCTGTGTTGCACTAAGAGTTAGCTGTGTTGCACTAAGAGCTAGCTGTGTTGCACTAAGAGCTAGCTGTGTTGCACTAAGAGCTAGCTGTGTTGCACTAAGAGCTAGATGTGTTGCACTAAGAGCTAGATGTGTTGCACTAAGAGCTAGCTGTGTTGCACTTAGAGCTAGCTGTGTTGCACTAAGATCTAGCTGTGTTGAACTAAGAGCTAGCTGTGTTGCACTAAGAGCTAGCTGTGTTGCACTAAGAGTTACCTGTGTTGCACTGAGAGCTAGCTGTGTTGCACTAAGAGCTAGCTGTGTTGCACTAAGAGCTAGCTGTGTTGCAATAAGAGCTAGCTGTGTTGCACTAAGAGCTAGCTGTGTTGCACTAAGAGCTAGCTGTGTTGCACTAAGAGCTAACTGTGTTGTACTAAGAGCTAGCTGTGTTGCACTGAGAGCTAGCTGTGTTGCACTAAGAGCTAGCTGTGTTGCACTAAGAGCTAGCTGTGTTGCACTAAGAGCTAGCTGTGTTGCACTAAGAGCTAGCTGTGTTGCACTAAGAGCTAGCTGTGTTGCACTAAGAGCTAGCTGTGTTGCACTAAGAGCTAGCTGTGTTGCACTAAGAACTAGCTGTGTTGCACTAAGACCTAGCTGTGTTGCACTAAGAGCTAGCTGTGTTGCTCTAAGAGCTAGCTGTGTTGCACTAAGAGCTAGCTGTGTTGCACTAAGAGCTAGCTGTGTTGCACTAAGAGCTAGCTGTGTTGCACTAAGAACTAGCTGTGTTGCACTAAGACCTAGCTGTGTTGCACTAAGAGCTAGCTGTGTTGCACTGAGAGCTAGCTGTGTTGCACTAAGAGCTAGCTGTGTTGCACTAAGAGCTAACTGTGTTGCACTAAGAGCTAGCTGTGTTGCACTAAGAGCTAGCTGTGTTGCACTAAGAGCTAGTTGTGTTGCACTAAGAGCTAGCTGTGTTGCACTAAGAGCTAGCTGTGTTGCACTAAGAGCTAGCTGTGTTGCACTAAGAGCTAGCTGTGTTGCACTAAGAGCTAGCTGTGTTGCACTAAGAGCTAGCTGTGTTGCACTAAGAGCTAGCTGTGTTGCACTAAGAGCTAGCTGTGTTGCACTAAAAGCTAGCTGTGTTGCACTAAGAGCTAGCTGTGTTGCACTAAGAGCTAGCTGTGTTGCACTAAGAGCTAGCTGTGTTGCACTAAGAGCTAGCTGTGTTGCACTAAAAGCTAGCTGTGTTGCACTAAGAGCTAGCTGTGTTGCACTAAGAGCTAGCTGTGTTGCACTAAGAGCTAGCTGTGTTGCACTAAGAGCTAGCTGTGTTGCACTAAGAGCTAGCTGTGTTGCACTAAGAGCTAGCTGTGTTGCACTAAAAGCTAGCTGTGTTGCACTAAGAGCTAGCTGTGTTGCACTAAAAGCTAGCTGTGTTGCACTAAGAGCTAGCTGTGTTGCACTAAGAGCTAGCTGTGTTGCACTAAGAGGTAGTTGTGTTGCACTAAGAGCTAGCTGTGTTGCACTAAGAGCTAGCTGTGTTGCACTAAGAGCTAGCTGTGTTGCACTAAGAGCTAGCTGTGTTGCACTAAGAGCTAGCTGTGTTGCACTAAGAGCTAGCTGTGTTGCACTAAAAGCTAGCTGTGTTGCACTAAGAGCTAGCTGTGTTGCACTAAAAGCTAGCTGTGTTGCACTAAGAGCTAGCTGTGTTGCACTAAGAGCTAGCTGTGTTGCACTAAGAGGTAGTTGTGTTGCACTAAGAGCTAGCTGTGTTGCACTAAGAGCTAGCTGTGTTGCACTAAGAGCTAGCTGTGTTGCACTAAGAGCTAGCTGTGTTGCACTAAGAGCTAGCTGTGTTGCACTAAGAGCTAGCTGTGTTGCACTAAGAGCTAGCTGTGTTGCATTAAGAGCTAGCTGTGTTGCACTAAGAGCTAGCTGTGTTGCACTAAGAGCTAGCTGTGTTGCACTAAGAGCTAGCTGTGATATAATCACTGTCACTGCTCGAAAACAATCCTCACACATTGGAATAAGAACTTAAGAATATTCTATCGTATATTTGATTTTCTGCGTTCTTTTCCATATAAGTTTTGGCATTATAAGCTGATTATCATGGCAAGTACTGTGTTACCTACTAACTAGCTGATTATCATGAATATTATATTCTTGACACGTCACAGGTTGTTCAATCCGAGAGTGATTAATTTCGGAGTGTAATTTTGGAAAAGGAATGGCTACCTCGCAATCAGGAGATTGACGTTGCTTGACATGTTGCACTAAGAACTAGCTGTGTTAATATAATAACGATCCGGCTACCACTTGTGCGGGTTTCTTGTCTATAAAAAGGTTCATAACAATCCATCCTAGTAGTACTAGTAGTAGTAGTAGCACCACTAGCTACTCAGTCTACACACTCGCTTACCACTAGATAACACAGTACTTGCCATGGTATCAGGGACTAGGAGCAGCTAAATGTTAAGGTTTGCAGTATATACGGTACATTGAATAATGATGAGTAAGCACCAAGCAGCTAGAAAGCTGCAGCTAGTAGCAGTAATACAGGTAGTAGTAGTAATAGTAATACAGTAGCAGGCAGCTAGTAGCAGTAATACAGGTAGTAGTAATAGTAATACAGTAGCAGGCAGCTAGTAGCAGTAATACAGGTAGTAGTAGTAGTAATAGTAATACAGTAGCAGGCAGCTAGTAGCAGTAATACAGGTAGTAGTAGTAGTAGTAATACAGTAGCAGGCAGCTA